AAATCACATTCTTACATACAACTTTTACAGAAAAGAAAGTGCTCTAAGAAGTAGAATACTCACCTAAAGCATAAGGTGAAAATAGCCGTCATCATATTGAACTAATAAGTAAAAAAAATCTAAAAATTGATGCATAAAAATAGTGTGCTCTTTTCCCCGATTTAAGTATTAATTCCACTAAAGAAAAGCCACTAATGATAGATTCTTTTTTGAATCACTAATGATAAGCAACTGTGTCGTGTTTCTCGGGAGTATATACACCGTGAAGAGCTTTCGAGCTGTATCATAGGAAAGAATTAAAAGCCCATTGAATACAGGAAGAAATTAAGGCTCAAACAAGCCAAACGAGGGAACATCTATATATAACACAGATCCTATTCCCTGTGCAGGTCGGGGAATAGCGATCAAACGTGCACCCTATGGTGCCCCGCTAGTTACGATTGGGCGCCCAATTAACAAGACCCCACTTCCGGTTTTGGGAAGGTAGCTTTCCCATATTGGTTTTTTTAATGTTATTTCTTCTTTTTTAATTTCCATTTTTATTTTTTATTTTATTTTTGTGCTTTCACCTTTCATTCTCCTTTCACAAACTTTTTTTGAAATCGTGAATAATTTGGAATTTGTGATTGTTTCTAATCATGAATATTTCTTTAATTCATATTCTGTACTGAATTATGCAACATTTTTTAAAATTGGGACTAATTTTCAAATACATAGTTTGTTTTAAAATTTGTGAATATTTTCTAAAATACAGGAAATTTTTCAAAGTTGTGGAATTTCTTGGAAATACATGACGAGTTTTCAAAATTGGGAACATCTTTAGAAATTCTAGAAATTTTATATCCATGAACATTTTTTGAAATTTGGGATTATTTTTGAATTCACGAAGAATCTTTGAAATACGAGAGAATTTTTCAAATTCTTGTTCATTGTTTGAGATCCAAGAACATGTTTAAAATTTAAGAAGAATTTCGAAATGTTGAGAACATTTTCTAAAATCATTCTTTTAAATGGAACATTTTTTTAGTTTTTTATACTTTTTTGAATTTAAGATATTTAAATGAAATCCCACCCTATTTTGGAATGTGGGATTCATGAGAATTTTCCAAGTTATAAAGAGAAACAAAAAGTAGTATTTTTTTGAGACAACAGCGGTACCTCGCGCTGTACTTGGGCCGGCCCAAAGCATGTGCATGGGGATGGGAGTGTGTGATTGTTTGCTTTCTCCCACACGACGCGGGTAATAGGAGCTCCCTCGTGCACCAGGAAAAATATATTTTAGGGTGTGTGGGATTTACAAGGCATTATCCCTAGTGTGTCAAACGGTCCAGTCCACATGATCTGACAGGAAAAAGGGATGTGGTGAACTGGAAAAAAGAAGTCCTCTTCGGTGCCTTCATCGCCAGTTGTCGAGCCCAACTCCCATTCAATCGCTTGTATGGGCCTGGCCCAGCAATGCTTGCCGGCTCCCGCCCGTTCGCTTGTTGGCAAACCCCCCGCTTCACGTCCACGAGATAGTGCATTTAGCGAACGAGCGCTCACAGATCTTGCTAGCTGGCTTGACCCATCTATTCTTTTTCTTTTACCAATTTTAACCCGCAAAAAAACTAGTCGCGTAACGGGATAGAATACAAGACCTCGTCGTTCGAAGGAAGTGCAAGAAACATCGGGGCATCTCACCCACTTGTGCACAACTGCTTCGTTTCTTCCTTTTATTTCATTCTTCAGTTCGGTTTGTTCTTTTTTGTTTTCTTTTTTTCTTGTTCTTTTACATTTTTTGTTTTCTTAATTGTGCTGTTTTTTTAATTCATATTTTTTTACATCCATGAAGCTTTTTCAAATTGGATGAACCTTTTTATAATTAGATGAACTTTTTTAAGAAGATCAGCTTTAAAGTTCATAACATATGAAAAATTACATGAAATTGAAAAAATGTTCATTATTTTTTAAATGATCTCATCTATTTTGAAAATAATAATAAATTTTGAAAAGAAAGTTCACAAATTGAAAGAAAAATTACAATTAAAGAAACCGTTCACGAACTTGTAAAAAAGGTCGTCAACTTTTAGAAAAAAATGTTCACGGATATTGAGTTGTTCATCAATTTGGAGAAAAATGTTCATGTATTTTGAAACATGTTCATGGATTTTGGGGAAAAATTTATAAATTGAAAAGGAGTTCGTGAATTTGAAAAAAAATCAGGGATTCAAAAGAAGTTCACGAGTTTGGATAAAAGTCCGAGTTTTGCAAAAGCGTTGAGGAATTTCAAAAAAGTTTTGAATTTAATAGTCTTTCGCACATTAGAAACAAAAACAAGCTACAAGTGACGTGTCCTGGTTGGTTTGTGAAGTTTATACTGAAAGAGAAGCTCGCTAGTTTGAATCACCTCGTGCATACCTTTTTCCTGCTAGCTAATAGAAACAAAAAGGGAAAATGGGGGCCGCCCCAGTATGGAGGGGTGGTGTGCGCCGGTTTGTGGATTACACACTAATGGACGCAGAAGGCACCAAATAAGAGTTGGGAAAAAAGAGGGTTGACTCCACGCAGTGGTGGATCCTGTTTAGTGCGCTGGTCGATTGATACCAGCGTCCATTATAGGCTTTCTTCCTGTCTTTTACTGGCAGATTCATTCTACAACCTTCCCTGAACCGGGTTTCCCTTTTTCTTTGTTCCTTTTTGTACCGATTCTTCCACTTATTTTTTCCTGAACTTTTCTATGTTTTTTCCTTCTGTTTTATTTTTTTCCATCGTTTCTTCTTTTTTATTTTTTATTTTCAAAATCAGACATTATTTTGAAATTTGAGAGTTATTTTTGAATTCCAAAGCATTTTCCAAAATTCTAGAACGCTCTTGAATTTATTTTTTTGTAATTTCGGAGCATTTTTGAATTCTGGGCAGGTTTCTTGAAATTCGCAGAAACATTGAACTAAACATTTGAAAACGAGGACTTGTTTACAAATACTATAATTGTTTACTGATTTCATGAATATTTAAAAATTCTAGAACATTTTTAAAATTAAATAAAGTTTTAAAAATTTGGAACCTTTTTCGTATTTATGATTATTTTCTAAAAAGTATGATTATTTTCAAAATCTATGAATACTTGTCAAATTCATTAACATATTTTGTAAATTCCGAAGTTTTTCAAAATTGGACATTTTTCGGTTAATAATATATTTTGGAAATTTAAAACTTGT